AATAATAATAATAACGATAATCATTACTATTACTATTGCCAATATGGATAAAACTTATTATTACTGCTTTTCTAATTTGCTTTTCACTTTCTCACTCTGGCACTAATTATGTTTTCCATTATAATCTATTATAATCATCAGACAGGTTACCAAAATCACCAAGATTACCCGGGTACTCATTGTGGGTGTTCGATTTTCAGATAGTGCTATTGTGGCGCTGCTCTACCAGGTGATTTGCTTAATATTTCCCTAATTTCCGATCATCTTCTGTTCTTTACACGGCATCTTTTCAGAGTCTATTTCAATGGTCACTTACTTTCTCGTGGGTACCACTTACTGGTCACACCGATCACCGATTATCAGCAAAAATCGAAAAACATTCATCCCAGCGGAAATTAGTTTTTTGCATTATCACAATGACATTCTCACGCAATTTCCCTGTATTTTGTTGGCAAAAACAGTTTTCCCTGCTATAGGATGGTATTACGGATCCATGAAATCAAAAAAATATTACCAGTTCCTTACCGATTCGTTTTGCATCATCATTTTTTGCAGTCACCATGTTGTTATCATTGTTGGTGTCGTTATCGCTGTTAATCGGTGGAAGAGGCGTCGATGCTGTCACTCCATCAAATATAATTTCATCGGGATCATCAGCATCAGCACATTCAGCAGGCACTGGAGGAACTGGACTCTTAACTGGATCACATGGAACCTCAAAAACGCCGATTTCAACTTATGCAAACAGAGAAAAGTTAAACTGATCGAATAGTAATCCCGTTGCAGTTCATTTCCATTTCACTCAACGAACTGAATCTTGAACCCAACGAATCCTCACCCTGCCAATATAACATAAATGACAACGCGCACCAGACTAGCCGGTGCGATCATGCGATTTGTGCAATTCAGCCCATCGAACGATTGCCTATTAATGATTTTCACTGCTTTGTACCTTAGTCTATGCAAAAATAGTTCAAACATTGGAAAATAGTTAAAAATTTCACGCATCAGCGTATGAAAGCTGAATTCGAAACCGTGAAGGATGAATATCTTTCTGACTCCCGAGTTAATAGTTTACTCGCCAAAATTTTCACGAGGCCCTAGGTGGTACCCGAGAGCGCGAGAACGCTGAATTTGGATGGGCAAAGTTGAGCGTGGGCAGAGGGTCATTATCCTAAAATTTCCTCCTCCTAGACTCCGTGGTTCCCGAGGTATTAACTTACCCGTGAATGACTTTCACGGGGCCGTACATGTTACCCGCGGGTAAGGGAAGGCTGAATTGGAATGGGTAACGTTGAGCGTGGGCAGAAGGTTATTACCTCAAAATTTCAGCCTTCTAGACTCCGTGGTTCCTGAGATATTAACTTACCCGTAAAAAGCTTTCATGGGCCGCACGCGTTACCTGCGGGTACGGGGAAGCTGAACTTAAATTTGCGGGGTCACACGCGGGTGGGGAACGTTCCCCTAAATCTTCAGCTCCTAGCTTCACCGAGTTGAAAGTTGCGGACAAGTTGCTGCGGACACACACACACACACACACACAAACACACACAGGCAACCCCGTAACAATATGCGTTTTGTACTGCTGTTACACAGCAAAAAACGCATAAAAAATTTGACATTTTTTGCAATATTACAAATATATCATACAAGAACCCTTATCCTCTTTTCACTAATCCTCTCAAAGAAAGAAAAAACCCAAAAACCAAGTAAACAATCGAGATAGCTTCAGTCTTAGTAATTTTAAAAAAAATACTCCAAAATTAAAAATTATTAAAAAAAAACACATTATCCATAATTAAAAAAAAAATCCGACAAAAGCAGTGCGCTAAAAAACATACAGCATGAGAGTAGGCTGCATTTTCTGATGAATTAGCAAGTGAGCATCGCGAGTCTTCACTTGGGCACAACGAATTTTTCCGTGGCATAGAATAAGGCGAATCTTTATGTGACAGAGCATTTGAATACGTCAAAGATTGTTCAGTAACGGTGACCTCACTAATATTAGACTCGCCCAACCCTAAGCCGTTGCAATAGGGATCAGTTTGTTGTTCCATTACCAACTGCTGAAATTCAATGATATTTTTTTAAAATCAAAACTTACAGTTTTTTTGATTATCGATATATTCTTATGATTCTTTTGATTATCGATATATTCTTTTGATTATCGACCCTCTACGATTCGCTTGCTCATTTCATGAAAAAACTAATACTGGCTAATGTCAGGAAGTCAAATTCGCCATCAGTTTGCTTCTAAGCAACCCTCGAAAGAAAGAATCATCGACTGCTCTTCAGTGGATGACTGCTGCTCACAAATACTATTACAGGGCTACTTGTCCACTGCCTATACCTCACGCAACGAATTCACAGCAGATTTCAACATTTAGCTTTGGCCTGGCCTATAGGGAAACTAATCAAAAAAAAAAGATTAAGCAAACCTGAAGCCAACTAGTTTGCAAATATTCAGGCCATGAATTCGGCGGAGTAGTCTGAGAGGTTGATGCGCTTTCCGGAGCGAATACCATGATTACCATTTCATTTTCAGCTTTCTAAAATAGCTCATTTACAATTTAACATCTTGAGCACTCTTATGGGATTATGTCAAATTAAGAAAAAAAATGTTGTTTCTTGTAGTAAAATCAAGAATCATGATCTCGAAATCGAACGCGAAAAAGCTGAACTAACGCAAATTTCACAGCATCGTCAATGTTAACAAGGTGCCAGAAACGCCATGAGCAGTGCCCAACTCTTAAATACCTTTGTGCTAAAGACAATGGTGTATGGATACCAATCTTTGCTATTGAAAAAAGTTAAATTCCAACTGTTGAATGTGATGAGGCAAAAAAAAAATGAGGCAAAGGATTACTGAGGAGTCCTTTCATGACAGACATAAAAACATTCTGTGTTCTTTTTTGTTTGTGTAAAATATCTGGCATGTGAAATATCCTGTGACCATGCGAGAAAGTAAAATCCGTGGACTGGCATGTCCTTCACCATACTAGCAAAACGATGGATGAGCATATCAAGTGGGTGGTATTCGCAAGTAAATAAAGGATCTTTTGGTGGTTGCAAAGGAAATAACATCACAGGTACTTGAACAGGAGAGAGGTACTAATTAGAAGCATACAAGCTAGAATCGAAGGACCTGGCATAAATGCGACCGACGTATGTGGGTACTAAAACATGGATTCTCACTCCAACTGTCCAGGCGATCCCGGTAAAAGTACTGGATACAAAAAACCATGCATACTAGAGAATTAGGATATAGAATAATAACAAAATGCGTCAAAGAATCATCCTCACAATTCTGAATTGTAGAAAGAAACTCATAGTGAGAATTTTGCCAAGTAACTGTAATACATAAGTGATTTCTTTTTCTATGGATTACCTCAAAAATGACAATCTTTCGAGCTAATAATTTTTTTTCGGGACAAATGTCGGGATCGCCAGCACTAGGCCGACCTCAGCTCAAGTAGCATTGGTCAAAGCAACTGGAGAAACAGTAGAATGGAAGGATTGA